GCAGTGATTGTATCAGAGGACCAGGTCCACTTAAGAGATTTTTCTAGGTCATTCTTAACTCTGCCGAGATCTTCCTGAAGTTTTCTGTTTCTTTCAAGTTCAGCACACAGACTAGATTTTACCATTTTTAGCTCATTTTCAATCTTAAGGTGTGCCTCGCTAGCAACTTCCTTTCCCTTTTGAGTGTTCCCAGAACTGTTTTTTCTTTTTAGTTCCTCAATTATTTCTTTTAGATCCACAACTACTACCAGCAAGTCATCTCTCTCATGCTCTACGTTTTCAATCTTTTCAGTTAAAGCATCATTTTCCCCTTTTAAATCCTCAATGGTTTCTTTTAAATCAACCATTACGACTACCAGATCATCTCTCTCATCTTCAATCTCTCCTAGTTCCATAGTTAAACCATTTTTATCATTAATGAGATTATGATAAGCATTAATTAAGACATTTTCCAAAGATATAAGCTTCTTTTGAGAATAACACTTCAAATTTCTTTGAACGTCTAGGAAGTTTACCTCATTGTCATCATCATCTTCATCCTCCTTAGATTTTGCTATCAGGCCAAAGATAGAGTCATATTCAGTTGCTTCTCTTTCAACGGCTATCATGGAGGTGTCACCTTTTTCATCATCTCCTTCAGATTCACTGGAGGAATCTCCCCATGCAGCAAGAGCTTGTTTCACAACATTGTCAACGACGTCTTTTCTCTTGAATCTCCTGTCAAGAACCGGCTTCCTCTTGGATGTTTTGTCTGTGTTGTGCTTGTACTGATCTTGCTTGTGCTGAGGACAATCTTTGATGAAATGTCCTAGCTTCCCACATTTATGACACAATTCATAGCCTTTTGATCTGCTGGAGCTACCTCTTTTTGGAATGCCTCCATTTCTGCACACCATTTTCTAAAATCTTTTTGTCAGACAAGCCATGTTAGCATCTTCGCCACTTGAGTCATTGTTGTCGGCCTTGAGGACCAGGTTCTTCTCCTTCTTGGGTTCTCTTCTTTCACGGTCCTTTTTTTCTTCATTTCATAGGTCTTCAGATTTCCGATGAGTTCATCAATGGTCAGCTTTTGCAGATCCTTTGCCTATGTGATAGCATTGACTTTGCTTTCCTAGGAACCAGGTAATACACTAAGTATTTTACTAACAAGTTTGTTCCTTGGAATGATCTCTCATTGAGAGTGAAGCTCGTTGATGATTGAGGTGAATCGAGTGTACATGTCCTGAATGGACTCATCATCCTTCATCTTGAGGAGTTCATACTTAGTGGTGATCAAGTCGATCTTCGACTGGTTGACTTGAGTTGTTCCTTCATGTGCTGTTTGGAGAGCCTCACAGATCTCCTTGGTAGATTGACAGGCAGAAATTCTGTTATACTCATCTGGCCCAATACTACAGATGAGGATCTTTTTTGCTCGAAAATGTTTCTCTATATCTTTGCGGTCAGATCGTTGTACTCCTTCCTCGTCTTTGGAACTGTCACTACTGGATCGCCAAATGGTCTTCATGGGGACGAAGTTTCCATCACAGATGACACCCAGAGCTCTGAATCTTCAGCCATGATAAAATCATGCATCCTTGTCTTCCACCATCCGTAGTATTGTCCATTGAATCTTGGTGGTCTGTAGGTTGATTGACCTTCTTCAAAGTTTGGTGGAGCAGTCATGTGGATCCCTTCTAGGTGTTAGCCTTATAGAAAGAACTTGCTCTGATACCAATAGATGGAAACTTAGGGTCCACCAAACTATATAGAGAACCTGTTTCTCTATCAGTTCCCATAGGACACACACAATCAGAGAAAAGAAAATGACACGGCAGAGTTTTACGTGGAAAACTTCCAGCTCACGGGATTAAAAATCACGACCTACACTCGTAGGATTTCAACTTCACTAATTGAGCAAACTTCACATTACAAACTATTGTAACCTAGGAATTAACCTCTTAATCCCTCAGTTACTTGTAATAGCTCTATTACAAGCCTATTTGTAATAACTCTATTACAAAGCTCGCAACTCGACTAACTCTAGCCAAGACACAAACACAAGGTTTATAGTTTTACAGATGGTTTCCTACACAATGTTTCTAGCTAAGCTAAGTAGGAATTACAAGTAGATCACTCTAACAAAGGTCAACACAACTAATGACATATGGTAACACAGTGCTTGAAACTGGTCCTTCGTTTTGTTGTTCTTCGTTCTTGAAGACTTGAAGTCACTTGGAAGATGGCAGCACACTTTAGAGAGAGACTTGATGATATTCGGATTGTTCAAGTATTTGTTTTTATCTTGCTTCATGTTGATAATATACAAGTGATGTCACTTGGATGATGCAAGCAATTATCCGTTACAAGGCATGCTCCATAAAGTGACTGCTGCACTGTATGCACTGTTGCGTGTGTGCACAGAAACAGTGCAACAACTTTATAGCTGTGGGAGTTGACTTGGACTGTCAGCAACAGATGTCCATCTGTTCCCTCTGTCGTCTCTTTGACTCAAGTTGTTGGAACTTGTGCCAGAATTGAGACTTGTTATTCTTGAGAACTTTGAGGATGTGTAACGGGTTCCTAATCTGGTTCTTATCACGAAGTTTGTTAGACCATCAAAATACAGAAAGAAATATAACTTATCAATTTGACACAAAAAGAAAAGTCAAACGAAGGTGCAAATCGCTTTGCGAAATGAAAAACTCAAGCGATGGGAGCTTGTCTACGAGCCACACGTCGCGCGAGCTTAGACACGGATTCTTACCTACTGATTAGATCGGTACCAGTACGGATCAGACCGTTTCCAGGTAATACCTCCATAGACAGCTCTACTTTTGGGCAAAAGGCTAATAACTAACACGGTGTGGACTGTGGACTAAGTAACTTACCAGGTCGGGACTAACCTCCTATTTTGGAGTTTGGACAATAAATTATAGAGCAGACCCTGGGCCTACAGTGCCACCTGCTATTTGTGTAAAAATCACGATAAAACAGAAAGAACATCTTCAAACCAGGTCAACGAAATGTGATTGACTAGCAAGGCTTGTTCAAGTGATAAAAGTACCTCCACCACTCACTGATAAGTAGAGGCGGATCCAGGATTTGATGGTTACGGGTGCCACCCAAGGGCGAATGCACATTTATCGAAGTGGTGTCACGCGACACCGCTTCGTCGAATTCTTTTGCTAAATATATGTATTAATACTGCTAGGAAGAGGATAAGTAGGAAAAATGACATCACTTGACATAATTTATCTCTTGGCGTATTAGTTATGTGCTTGATTTTGCTCTAAGAGGTCAGAGACTCGAACCTCAACTAGCATATTTTTTTTTTCTTTTTTTGCAAATATTTGAGAGAATCTATGCGGTTAAAATTTTTGATGAAGTAGAATTTAATTAGGACTTTTTCTAACTTAAGACTCACAACACCAATAGACCAAAGTTATTTCTTGTCTAGAAGTATGATAATTAAAGTTTTATTCCGTTCTTCTATAAATTTTGACACTGCTTACAAAAATTCCGTGAATGCCTCTGGTGCCACTGCTTTTAATGCAAACCGACCATAGTGAATAGATTGAACTTGGGTGTACATTTAGTCGGTTTCCATTTTTGATTAATTTGGTTTGGTTCTGTCCATTTTGAATTAATTCAATTCAATTTAAAAGATTGTTTTATGCATAAATGAATACGTGATCACAAAATCGAATAACTTATGTCCAATTCAGTCTAATTCTCTGGGTTCAAATTCGATTACTATGATTAAAAAATATAAAGAAAAATAAAATTTTAAATTAGGAAATACACCACTTCGATCTACATATAGCTCGATTAATATTATGTCTTTGGTGCATCACTCTAATTTTTAAAATTAATAAAATAACATTAGATGGATAAAAAGAGGAAATGATTAAAATCACATTCAAATAAATTGAAGATCTAGAAAAAGAAAAGGAAGCAAATATACAATTTAAATAAATAATAAAAAGGAGATTGTACAAATAGAGTAAATAACAGAGGTGAAGAAATTAAAAGAATTTAAAAGAAGGACCATAAAGAAAAGAAGATAACAGCAAAACAACAGCTAGAACCACCAAAGAGTATCAATCCTGGGCATTTCATGTGGAGTTTCAGTGCTTTAACCATGGCACCTGCAGTCATTTTGTGACTTGGGGTGCCATTCATTATATATGTTCCATATTTTGAGGAAAATACTAGTACACATATACGATTTTACTCGAGCGATTGGGTGGCGTACCAACCCCAAGCCCCCACATATATGATTTTACTCGAGCGATTGGGTGGCGTACCAACCCCAAGCCCCCACATATATGATTTTACTCGAGCGATTGGGTGGCGTACCAACCCCAAGCCCCTACATAGATCCGCCCCTGCTGATAAGTTAGAAGGTCGAATCATAACAATGTTAATCCTCTTAATTAGTCAAAGTGAGTTAAATAATGTGATGTGAAGGTGAAGAAACAGAAACTGAAGTTAATATGACTCCACTAGATTTGCAGATTGTATGTTTTCATATCTCTGAAAATTCTTTTTAACATAAAGAAAGATTAATTAAATTTCAATCAAATTCAAAACTGAATAACTTAATACCAAGCAATGTGAAACACATATACTCCATGTAATAGTTTAAATTGAATAAAACACCATTGCATCTGGAGTAGTGATTTTTACTTTTTATTAAGTATTATCTACAGGTTCTTCTAGTAGTTCATGATTGTGCAGCTTGTAAGGTAAGGTTGAATTGCTAAAAGTAAAATGGTTAGAACTTCTTGCACAAATGTTTTTCCAAATAATTCCCCCATGTGGTTTACATGTCTTAGTAGGTGAAGCAGTATTTCTTATCCACAAATATAATCCAAACACCAACCACAGGCACCCTATCTGTCAAAGATATATACGATCTAGAAGAATAAAATAGCAGCATATTCTTGCACACATCAACAACAGCTACAGCTACTACTTGGCTCTAGATGCCTACATATACATAACACATTAGAACATAACAAATTGGTAAATATTCTTGACATTTCATAGGTCATATCTTTAATAATAAACGTGTACTTTATAATACCATGAAATTGACATACTTAAAAAGGGTCTTGGCATATGATACTGAAGACATCCAGTGGCAAAAGCCAAAAAGTAAAAGTTGAAAACATAGATAAAATAAGTGAAATCTTGGAAATATATGTATTAGCTACTACTAGTAAGTAGTAAGACTAACTGACTATGACTTGGACTTCAAGTAGTTGTTGAGAACACACATGACTGATCCAAACTCTGCTTTTACTTCCACAGGTGGATTAGCAAACTGACAAGCCATATCTTTAATCTCCTTAGAATGATATTCAATCTTGGACTGAGTAAATTTCAATCCATGAGCTGTACTAACAACCACAGTCCTTTCAGTTGGTGCAATAACCCCATTATTCCTAAGCTTCATTAGTGCAGTTAAAGCAACACCTGTATGTGGACATATAAACATTCCAGTTGAATCAGCAAGTGCAGTAGCATCCATTAATTCTTCCTCTGTTGCTTCTTCCACTATCCCATTTGAATTCTTGAGTGCATAAACTGCTCTATCAATAGAAACAGGGTCACCAATCTGTATAGCTGAAGCAAATGTTGTGTTTGCCTTAACTGGCTGAAAATTAGTCCACCCTGACTTGTAATACATATATAAAGGATTAGCATTTGCAGCTTGAGCACAAACCAGTCTTGGAATCCTATCAACTAACCCCATTTCTTGACACATTTTGAACCCTTTATAAAAAGCATAAATGTTACCTAAATTCCCACCAGGAATAATAACCCAATCAGGTACTTCCCAATCAAACTGCTGCAAAATCTCAATTGCTGCAGTTTTTTGCCCTTCAAGCCTCAAACTGTTTAAAGAATTAGCCAAATAAATAGGCAACTCTGAAGTAACTTCACGAATCAGTTTCATGCATCCATCAAAATCTGTGTCAATGCTAATAACAAAAGCACCATTGGCTATAGGCTGAACCAACTGTGCCATTGAAATCTTATTTGCTGGCAAAAACACAATAGATGGTATGTCTGCAGCAGCACAATAAGCAGATAAAGCAGCAGACGTGTCACCAGTTGAAGCACAGCCAACACCAACCAAAGGTCGTTTCAGTTTTCTTAGCCTATTCACTTGGCTAACCAAAACTGTCATGCCTAAATCTTTAAAACTACCAGTATGACTAATACCACAGTGTTTCACCCACAAATCATTCATGCCTAAGAATTTTTTCCCAAATCTTTCAGCCCAAAAAAGATTGGAATTTCCCTCAAAAGCACTTATAATATCATCATCATCAATTTCTGGCAAAACCCATTCTTTCTTGGACCAAACTCCAGAGCCATAAGGCCATGTTGTTTTCCCAACTCTAGAATCAAACAAGGACTTCCAATATTTACCATCATATTGTTTCAATGCCTCTAAGTCATGTTGCACATCAAGTAAACCCCCTGAATTACTTCTGTATATTATTTCATCAAGCGAGTAGGATTCATCAGTAGGGGTATTGGTGGAGATAGAGTTGAAAGGTACATACTTTGCTGAAAAATTTAGAGCAGATTTCTTGGTTGTTTGTGGCAGAGTTGTTTGTTGGTTGCTAGTGGTGGTGGTGGTACAAGTAACTTTAAAAGGAAGGAATTTTGTGGGGTGGTGGGGTTGGTGGGATGGGGAGAGAATGGAAGAATGTGAAGAATAAGAAGCCATTGGTAATACACTGTGATAGCTTTTGCTTTGGGTTTGGGTTTTTATTTGCAAGAAAACAGACTAGGGGTTGCTGAATCTAACATAGAGAAGGGTGCACTCTACTACATAGGATTTGGCAATATATATTTATTTACACGTGTTGTATGTTTTCTAAAGGCAAGTGGATCTTCATTTTTACGTATATTTTATAGTGTATAATCACGTTAAATGTTCAATTTGTGCGTTGTTCCAGTTACTACTCTATTAAAAATGGTAAATTATTCAATTACTTTCCATAAGCCATACTTAGGCGTCCTTTTATGTGTTTTTATTTTTGTCAATTTCTTTATACTTTTTGGGTCATGAGCCTGTAGATATCGAGAGAAAGTATAAATACGGCCTTAACTCCAAACTATTAACCTAAAGATTTGAAAATAACACTAAAACTATATACTTTCTTACCTATAATTAAACTAGTCTTACAGCTTATTTGGATGGTTGTTACATATCGTTTCATAATGTATCGTATCGTATTGTATTGTACTGTATTATTTGATGAATACAATGTTTGGATAGATTGTATTATTTGTCGTCGTTTAATGATATCACGCACCGGCAACATGAAGAATAGACTTGCAATATTATAAAGAAAAATTATGATACGGGGTAAAATTATTATATAAAAATATAGTGTAAACAATAAAATAAAATTATTTAATAATAATGAAGCATGAGATGAGAGAAAAAGACAAGGTAACGACGCGACCACACTAAATTGGTCGTTACATAAAGTGGCACATTAACGACGGATTTAACAATATGATACAATAAAATTTAATTAACAATCAAACCAAACATCGTATTTAAGATAACAATATGATACAATACAATAGGTAGCAACCATCCAAACATGCTTTAGGGTATGCGCTTTGCGCGTGTACCTATATCAATAAATGTATAATTTTTAAAAATTATATATATTTTATTCAATAATGTGTTTGAGTTATTGAAAAAATATCAAAGAAAAAAAATGTAAGTTTCTAAATATAATGAATCTTAATCTCACTAAGCTAGCTCATTACACAAAGAAATCCTACTCCACATAAGTTTTTATATGTCTTATTATGATTTATGAAATATATATCTTATGAAAATTATTGTTATCTTTATTACCAAATACTATAAACAAATAACAAAAAAAAAATACTTTACAATAATTGTTCAAAGATAATAAAATAAATTGAAGAATTTGAATCTTTGGGTCTTTTAGAAATTTATGAGTGAAGAGATAGAACTATAGCTCCTGAAATCCTATAGATAAATAACAATATAAAGTATGAAATAGCTAATATTGAATTATAAAAAATGATGTAATACGATATGAAAAATGTAGGGAGCTATCATTTATTAAAATAAATATAAGAAGAAAGAAAAATGATAAGGGCAATTTTTGTGATTTTTTTTTTTTTTTGTCTTATGTTATATCCTTATTGCTTCAGCTTAACATTTTAGCAATTTAACTTTTAATACTATATTATAATAAAAAAATTCTATTTTCTTATTTCTTTCACGGCAAATGCTCTTATTGTGTAAAATAACTTGTGTACCTTAAGAGTTTTATCAACTTGACAAATAAGTTTACTTATATAATAATTTTAAAACAAAATTGAATTGACTTTTTTGCTGCTTTATTAATTCAAAGACTTAATTATTTATTGAGATTTTATGCTTTTTTGATAGTATAGAAGATACAAATTATTTTCAAACTTTTCTCCTACTCGAACATAATATTATTCTCTTTATCGATTTTATGCAATATTGAAAACTACATTTAATAATTAGAACAAATATTTAGTTAGGTACAAAACATCTTGCTTTAGTAGTAACAGTATATAGAAACATGTTAGAATTATAGATTCCCTAATAAGAGGAATCAATGTAAACATATTTCTATGGAAATCACGTGAGTATATACATATATAATTGTAAATTGTGCTTCATTTAACCTAAAGACTTAAAAATAAAAATGAGAGACTACATATTACTCTGGTCGCCACTATTTCCTTATTACTTCGAAAAGAACGACTTCAAGCTTCCTATTTTATCTTAATGTTTTTTTTTTTTATAGCCACACAAATGTATGACATGTTTAAGATCATAAATAAAAAAAGTCTCATAGTCACATAAATAATGTGCATGTTTAAAATCATAAGAGTTAAAAATCTTTCTTTCTTAACTTTATGGAATCAAACTATGTTATATAAATTGGAATTGAAGGAGTATTTAACAGTGGTCAAATAATTTTAAAAAATTATACAAGATACAAAATTGGATCCATGATTTTAAACTTTATAAGTTCAGTACTATGAGATTCTAAGCTTGAACACATTGTACTTTTGAAATTATAGGTTCATAATTAAATATATTTTAGAATTTTAGTGGTTATCTACAATCAAAACTCTCTATAACAACGTCGTTTATTCTAACATTTTTTTTGCTTTTATAATGAATGGTTATTAATTATTATACACCTATAACAATATTTGACTCTCTAGATATTATTTGGCTGTTATAGACAAATAATATCTAAAGATATTATTTTTCCTATTCTAATGCAACGTATAAATGATAAAAAATTATTTAAATTTTCAAATTCCAAAAGACATGCGAATTAAAGAAAATTAATACATTCATGCCTGGAGTTAAGCCATGGAGTTATTTTGCTGTTTCGCAGATAGTTAGATAACTAGATGTGTTTGACTTAGCTATGGTTTTGTAAATATTAATTTACTTGGTGATTAATAAAGTTTCTAGTTAACAAAAATATAACTAATACATTACCATTAAAAACTTTATCAAATGAAAAGATATGTGCACGATGGAAACTTTTGGTCAAGGGAAAGAAAATCTAGCTGCATATATTTTAATAAAATTGAATGAAATCTTTAATTATGAAAGTAACATAATATTTTTTTTTTATCATATATGGTTCACTAAAGTTTTAAATATTTGATCAAAAATTTTAGACTTATAATTAATAATCTTAGATATTCTACATGGTTGTTATAGGGGGTAATTTTACAAAGAGCGTATTGCGATGAAGATGGTTGTTGATGTTATAGGTAAAAAGCTGTTATAGAGAGGTAAAATATAACATATAAAATTAGTTCCGAAAAAAGTTTGACTTTTATAGTGAATAACTGTTACTATATAATAATATTGATATAAAGAGGTCTGACCGTATATTTCGTATAAAGATAGTAAATTCCATAGAATCCATAGAAAAAATATGCATCCGACCTAGCAAAAATAAAATCAATGTCTTTTATTTATGTTTGGCTCAGGCTTACATCTAATGTGAGAGCAAATTTCTTTTTTAACTGTACAATCAGTTTACACACTCATTCTTGCAACCTCGATTCAAAGTTTTCCCCTTTTTCCATTCTATCTCAACACTATAAAAAAAACGCTCTAATTTTCAGAAAATAATTAAAGGATATACAACAAAAAAACATGCAAAAGGGTCACATCAACGAGCTTTTAATTTTCCCTCCCTTTTTATATGTCTCTTGCTTTCTTTTAAAAATAAAATAAAATTTGTGGTGAGTTAAACACGTGAAGAATAATGGAAGAATGGGGAGAGCCATGAATGAGGATCGGGATGATACATGTGTAAGCCCACTCATAATTTAATCGCTTTAAAAGTATAATTTGAAACGAATAATTTTACCTTTTTAAATCAAAATTTTGATACTCGAAACCAAATTAAAAGTACTTCTTCTTCTGGTCCACAATAAGTGACCAACTTGTCTTTTTATTTTGGTCCAAAATAAGTGCCCATCATTTATATAACCAAGAAACAATTCAATTTGTTTTTTATAAAATTAGCCTCTTGTACGTATCCCTAAAAAGTCTTTTACTCTTCACATTAACTATGCTGCAACATTTAACTAAGAATAGTTTAATCATACTAACTACTTTTATCTAGAATTTAGTATTTCCTGAGTGGATGTGCCTAACTTAGGCAAAAATGGCCCAAGCCCATTTAACCCGCTTTAACGGGTTGGGGGACACATATAATTCTGATGGGCTAATTTTGGGCCCAACCCATTTTAACCCGTGCAAACACCCCATTCAACCCGTGAAACTGCCAAAACTCAACCCGTCAAACTTCTCCAGCTTCAAGCCTTCCGCCCATTAACGCTTTAAATTGAGGAGTGACGACATTCATTTGCGGCAGTAAAGAGGATATCACAATTCACAAGGATTTGAAAATGGAAATAGTACTTGCCATTCAACTATTGGTATATTTTCTTTTTAAATAAAATTTCTTTTTTTAAGTTATATAAATTAAATAATTGTTCTTTTTTCATACGTTTCTTTCTCTCTAGATTGACATTAGAGAGAAAAATTTACTTTTGCTTATGCACACAAGTATTTGACAGCACATATATATTATTATTTAACTTTGGTGTGAAAAAATAAAATATTAAGCTAACAATTAAAAATCAATTTGATTGCAACAATATTATACTTGAATTCTTGAATCTGAAAAACTAGTATAATGAACATAATTACAAATTGGTATCAAATCTGAACGTCCCATTACTAGTGATTAATTAAGTTGAATTACTAAACCCCTACCAAAATGAATTTATATAACTATAAAAATAATTACTGGGACTAATAGTATAATACATGAAATAATTTTATACAAGACGTGTACAATAGTTAACAAATTGATTTAAAAAAAGAGATATATAATTTCAAGTTTGATCTCCAATCACTGAGCACATTATTGTGAAACGTGATTACCGGAACATCAAAGATAATTAATAATTCCATTAATGGGTCAAGTTGCGCGGGTTGGGCTATAGCCCATTGTTTAACCTATCTTGACCCAACTCATTTCAGCCCAAGTAACGTTTGGGTTGGGTTGGGTAATGACTCATTTAACGATTCAACCCATTTTGACCCATCTAAATTAAGCTCAACCCGCCCATTTGCCATCCCTATGCCTAATTCAAATTGATTACTTATTGTGGACCGGAATGAGTACACATTATACCTTGTAATTTTTCTAATATCAAAATTATGAAAGGTAAGACACCTGAATTAAGAAGT